TGAGACGAGACAGCCGCAGACAACCAGCCGAGACCGAGGAGGCCAGGAGCCGACTGACACCTTTCCCACCGCATACCAGTCCATCGGTACAAACCCCTTCGCTTATCGCGTGTGAGCCTGAGGTACATATCGACTGTTGTTCATGCGAGATCACTGTCGTATACCCTTGCTTGGGACACATTCAACTTCGCAGTTCGCGCTATAGCCGCACTTCTTCACACCTCCTATATTCTAAAAACTGTGACGTGAGAACCGCACATCGCCGTCGGTATGCCCCAATATATGTCTGCCTCTGGCTATACCCACCGTCATGCAAAAAGCTGAGAAGAGCTTCACATGATAACGGAGACTCTTCTTAAACCACACAATCGCCTATAGCAATGCTGATATACCCATTGGTTATTCTTTTTTCATGATTGGTTGGAGGAAGAGGAACCTCTCTAACACTGAGCAATATACTTACATCATCGCAACAACCATATCTGTGCCGTCAGTGGTCCGTGCACGTTGCACATCTCACACACTTCCCGTCGCGCTACTGTGCGATAACCAATCCACAATCACAACGGCTGTTTTACACCTGTCAGATACATTGCAGAAAGTCAAAAAACGAACCGGAAATCTAATGGACCGCTCAAGCGATTCCTTGACAGGCGTTATCATGCCGGCTTGCTAGCATTGACAGGTAAGGCTTTCAGCAGGAAACACAAGTAAAAGAGGGTACAATGCTGCCTGCTATTGAGGCCTGCAGATCCTGAGAAATTTGTTTGAGCGGGTACTGTATGATATGTAACCGTTTTCTCGGTCTCAAGTACCATCAGTCATTTCGTTCCGTCCCGTAATTCCTTTTTGCATCATCTGGAAGGTTGTCTCCTTCCTCGCAACTACCTTTGGCAAACGATATTGTACAGCACTGTCATCACGCCAAGTTAGCCTTCATCGGACCGAAGACGCCGTGGCTACCAAGCAACACCATCAAGGAAGAGTGAGAAGCCAAGATGGACAAAGTCAAACTCACAATCACACCGGTGGCCGCCAAAATCAAATCACTCCTTCCCACAAAGAAAGATGCTTCGCCGGTTTTCAATAAGCCCGTCAACACCAACTCATGTCCGCACCATCGCATGTCGCGGCTGTTATACAGCATTTCCCTTACTATGCTCTTTGCAATCTCGATAGCTGTGGTTACATTTAAAGCAAAGTCATACAGCTTCATCGAGGATAACCGTATGACGGGATTCGACTTCCAAATGTCAGAAGGAGCTGGGCAATCCGCACAGGAAATCGTCGTGGCAACTCTACCACGCAGGATGTATGCGATACCAGCGAAGTTGACCATCATCTCTGCCGCCATGAGCATCCTGATTGCAGCGGCACATCTGGGATTTGTTGTGACCGATTGGAAGAGGGGTAATAGAGTACGTTTAACAGATGATGACAAGGCTCCCGCTGACGTTTGCACAGACGCAATCACATGTATTCCGTCGCAATATAATGATGTTTCACATTATTAATGCCATCGTTGTCCTCTTCGCTCTGGTATCAATTTACGTCACTCATGCCAACTCATCGCATTTCCGCGACAACTACATCAATGTCCTTGCCTCTCGGAGAAACGCCACTCAAACCTACGTGCGGTACGACGCCGGCATCTTCGACGTCGAGACCTGGACGTGCGAGCTTCAACGTGCCCAGGGTGTTGGCATGGTTCAGGATGACTATGGGAAGCAATGTGCGGACGAGATCGCTGGTCGAGCCGTCATGATCCCGTTCATGTTGCTTGCATGGCTCATCGCTGGTGTGGGCATCTGGGGCTTCACAAAGGGTGGACGAAGGGGACCCGACGGCGAAGCCATCAGAACCCAAGAAGTTGGCCTCGAAATGAAAAAGATGAACGCTACCGACGAATAGCTTTCCTTTCCACACTTCCTTTTTCTTGTTCATTCTTCTTGCGGATCAAGACTCAGTTCTGCATTGTTGTTATTGAAACGACTTCTCTTTCTTTCCTTTACTTGGCGCCTACCTAAGCAACGATACCCATGCGCTTTGCTAATCATCAACATTGGAATATCCGTTGACAGAATTCTCTGCTGGCCGAGAGTTTGGTCTGAGCTTTCCTCTAAAAGTAATCATTTCTGCAAATACTGGCATCGCGTTGTCCAAGCGCCGGAACACATCATGCCTCATTTTCATTCCAACGTACTAGCATACAACAATTTTCTTTCCGTTGTAATCATACACAAACAATTCTCCTGTAACTAGAAACACATTGACCAGATCTACTGTTTGCTGTCAACACCTGACCCACTATCTCGCCGACCCTCTTCACGCGTATGCGCTCCTTCTCCCCCACACTCTCCTCGTGCCCTGGTCTGCATCCCCTCACCTACATACTCAAATCGCTCACACCTACCACCCCGATGCTTATCCTCGTCTTTAACCCTACACGCATCTCCACTATAGCCCACATATCTCCACCGAGTCAAACAAATAACCATACTAAAAGCCCTAAATCCATTGTCATCGCTCGTAAGACGCCGTCCTGGCCGCGAATCGTCCATTAGCTCTTCTTCTGACCAGTAGC